TAAATTTTCCCTTACGATTAGTTCTGAGCAATATTTGGCTATTTGGACCTATTATTGAATCGATGTTAAGCCGAAAACCTGCAACAGATGCTTTCCAACGTACAACAACTGCAGTAACACTTATATCTGGTGGTGAAAAAGAAAATGTTTTACCAACATCAGCTTCAGCTACTGTTAATCGTAAGAAGAAAACTAAAAATAGGAAGAAAACAAATGATTCGAAAGTTTTTAGATAAGATATTTGTTTACTTCTTACATGCTGAAAAATATTTCTGACGAGTCAAAAGCTATAGGTTGCGACCAAAATTCAAGATGAACTTAGAAATGTTGTGTCTATTTTATGTGCGAGTAATGAGAAACATTTTTCTAAGGCTTGAAAAATTATTTATAATGGTGAGTCAATAGTTTCTTGTTTGGTCTATACGTCTCTTTTTCGAATATACTAAAAATAATCGGAGTCATTCGTTTTTTAAAACGAACATTTCTATAGAAGACGTGATATTGAACTTAAGCTGTAATCTTTACTTAAATAAGGCTACAAGCATTCTTTTCAAGTGTAAAACAGTTGTCAAAAGACAAAAGAACATTCCAAATAATGTAGCTTGTATGGTAGCTTCTGGTTCACAAGGTGATATATAAATGAGGATTCGAACTTTTAATTTCAAATCACAATAGTAAAAATACAAAAGTTTTCTGTCAAAATAAAATTTTTGGACTTTTCAAAGATTATTTTATTACTCACTCTTGAGCGCAAACTGACGAGAAACGGCCTCCAACTGTCTCATTGCTTTATTCATCAAATCTTGTACGTTAGAGGTAACTAACCATGAGGATTTCGAATATCAATACAACATCAGTAGTTATGACGTTCGAGATCCATTTCAACAAAAATCAGTTTTTCCTAGTGAGGAAATGTTTTCGTCAAAATTTTTTTTTTGATCAGTCCAAATGGTAGAGCACGTCGAGTTAACTGTAAAACAGTATTTGTTTCACATTTTGGAACCATTACACAGGCAACTAGAAACATAATTTTTTCTTTTGTTTTCTGGTTTTGACAGAAAAAGAATGAACATTTTGTTCAGTAGACAAAAGACAAAATTATGCTTCTTTATCAAAAAAGTTTTTGACAAAAAATTTTTCTCTTTCGAAAAATGGTTCGCTGAAGTCTTAGCTCCTGATCTCATATTGATATTCGAAATTAGTATGATCAATTCAATGTAACCCACTAGATTCGCTAGAAAAAAAGCGATTAGACAATTGAGAAGCTTCCCTCATAAGATAAAATTTCTAAAACCATCTGCAAAAAAGAACATAAAATTAAAGCTTTTGACTCGTCAGAAATAGTTTCTAGAGCATCAAAAGTGAATAAATATCTTGTCTAAAAATTTTCTGATAATCCATTACTTCATTTCATGTTTTAGAAATCAACTGTTACTTTTATTTTATTTAGATCGTACTCATACAGCTGATTCGTGTCAAAAAATTCTGGAAAATAATCGTCGTATAATCAATGATGATCGTCTTGTTCCTCAAATAAAGACATGTTCAGAACCGTCACCTATATCACCATATGGTAAACATATTTATGCATATCGTATTCTTGAACAAACAATACGTCAAACATTTGAAAGAGATCGTCAACCTATCATTGTTGCACCTGGTTTAATGTTAGCTGCAACAGATAGTAGATCATATACAAATTTAACAAAAAATTTATATCGTTATTCTCCATTTGTTTATGGTGATGATGATTACGGTCGTCTTCATGGTGATAATGAACGTATAAGACATAGTGACATGCAGCGAGGATTAAATTTTTATTTTCATCTTATTGTTAACAATCAACTTGAAAGTATCTCTGAAAAAAAATTAAATTGAGAACTTTGGGATGACATTTTTTTTCTTTGGATTTATCTAAATTGATTTTATTTCTTTTTTTTTTTAATCCTATGATGATGAAGAATTATTTTCCTTTGTCATTATTGATTAATAAAAACTTTATTTGACTTCAATGATTTATACAAATGATATAGAGTGAAGATAATCAATCTATCATAGAAATAGAAATTGATATCGTTGATCAAGAATTATAAAATCTTAAACTGGATAATATTCATGCTCAATTTGTACCGTTAAAAGATCTATCTTACTATTAAGGAATAAAAATTCTACAGGAGTAGATAGTTTTTCAAATAGAAGTATAACACATCTTCTTTTGTAGTATCTCAAATGCTTTTCATTATTAAAATGTTTACCTAAAGGTTCATGAATAGCTCCAATGTTGTTCACTATCTTTCACTGTGATATATTAACTTCAATTACTAATTTTCATTTTAAGTATACAAGTCTTGTTATGTATTTCGAAGTTACCATCATCAAAAAACTTTCAAAATTCAAGTATTTTGGTGTTATTATTGATTCTAGATAAGTCGTTAATTTTCATCTCGACTACATAAGGTCAAAAACTCATAAAAAGATTACAATTTTTCAATAGCTATCGTCAATATGTATGGCATCCAACGAAATTTGCTATAGATTATGTTATGTATATATTTGTCCATACTACTAATCTGTTTTGAGTATGTATCTAATCTTATGTAATACTAAAAAGGAACACTGGGAAACATTAAATCGAAAAACTTTTCACTTTGTACATTGATAACACGGATGCTATCAAAAACGAAAGAATTAAATTTCCAACTTATAAATCAATGGAATTACTTATACAGATGTATTTTACAAAATGAGCACCTATAATTATTCGTAGTAATTCTTAGATAATTGCTGATTTTATCAAACAGAAGCTATATCTATTATTCGTTAAAGAGTACTTTCTGTATTCTGCTTTTACGAAGGAGAAGAACAAAATTTTAGATAATGGAAATATATAAAATTGAATACGAAAGCTACTATCGCCTTGCAATGCATTTCGTAATCTTGATCTAATTTTTTAGTATGCATAAAAATATGAAACGTATTGAGATGATATACTAACATAAGATTTCTATTATGTTACATTTTTTCTTATTTTATCTATTGTTATCAAAATTATCATGGGTGACAATTAATAGACTATTTATTACATATCCTTTGTTTTTTTTTCTTTTTGACCTACTATCTTTATCTAAAGTGTATTCTTTCTTTGGTTATACATCACATAAAAATAAAATATTCTCACCTAACTTTGTTTTGTTGTAAGACTACAGAGAATATGTTCGTGTAAGTCCACTTGTCAAACTTATAAAACTTTATTGTTGATATTATTTGAAATTACAAAATGATATAGAGTGACATCTGTCGTTCGATTCAAACATTATGCTTGATGATTATCTATCGTTTTGTATTCGTTTTCATCGTCGATAACTTGTATCTTCAACATATACAAACATGATAACAATCAGTCGATTTGTTTTCTTTTTTTTTTCTCATGTTCGTTGTATCATTTCAATTTCATTATACTCTTTCTTTTTACTCGTTTATGCATGAATCATCTGATCGCCTTGATGATCAACATTACTATTACAATCCATATATCATCATTTTATTTTCATCAATCTTGCCTTATATATTATATAGAAATGAAATTGAATATTGCCTTACCGAATTGATACTTATTCATTCGTACATCTATATGCGAGCACTATTCAAACAGCCAGACATCTCCAGGGGCGTAAGTCACCACTGAAGGCAAGGAGGGAGGGCGTAGTCCTTTGAATTGTTTTTTTTGGGGGGGAGGGAGGTTAAAAATATTTTTGACTGAGATAGTGCGTGTCTAAAAACATGGATTTCTAGTTGCTTGCTATGTGTTTTTTGTGTAGATAATACAGTTCAGGAACCCATGTAAAAAATTTGGATTGAGAATCAGATTAAAAGTCGATTATAATGGCATTATTATAACCTGATTTTAATCAGATTTTTCAGCTTTAAATGACAAATTTTATTTGATTTTGATTTTTTTTATCTGTTTTAATCGATTACCTACAACGACTATAATAATAGCTTTAAAACAATCAAAATAAAATAAAATTTGTCATTTAAAGCTGAAAAATCTGATTTAAATCAGGTTATAATAGTGCCATAATAATCGATTTTTAACCTGATTCTTAATCCAAATTTTTTACATAGGGAAACACTACAGCAGAAAAGAAGCATGGATTAAAAAGAAGACAGACGCACACAAAGATATAATGACAGAACAATGAATGAGTACAAAAGGGATACACGGTTGTTTCGAGATAATCCATATTGAGAGACCCATCTGTATCTTTTTCAGCACTGTAATCTTCGTTTGCTCATTGTGTTACAAAAAATACTTTCGACGTAGAAACATCTTCTACTATGAAAAAAATTTGGTTTTTCTACCTTCCTTCATTTTGAGGAAGAAAACTGTCATCGTATCGAGTCAAAAAAGTCTCTAGGTGTGTCTAACGCCAAATACGTTTACGTCAACGACTATTGATGGCAACGATACTTTATAGAACGCAGCATTAACAGAAACTTCCTAGAAATAGATTTTAAGTCTTCAAAATATTGTTATGCTCATACAATTGATACCATTTATGCAAGCAAAATTGCTTTGGTGGCAGGTCTAAATCCTATTTCAGTGTTGTTGCGTTCCAAAAACTACATCGTCATTGAATGAAACCATTGATATTTGTTTAAAAGTTTTTGCCGCCAAAGGCGGCCGCGCTCGTGATCATTTAAAAAATAAAACTCTTACGCGTAAAAAGTACTATAAGAAAATGTTTAAATGATATATCAGACTTCTTAGGACACTTGTAATTGTAAAGGTCTTACTTTTTCGCGGAGTGAAAATTTTTTTTTTAAATTTTATATCTTGTTTGATATAGACTTATTTGATTCAGCACTTTTTGTCAAAGAATTAGTAAACTTCTACTTAATGTCTGTTTTCGCTCTTTTTACTAGTGGAAATAACGAAAACTTTCAAGTATTGGGGAAGGAGGGAGGGGCGTTGTCATAGAGAATTTCAAAAGTTGGGGGCGTAACGCTCCACGCGCCCTCTTCGCTCCTATTTACGCCCCTGGACATATCAACACATTCTTATCATTGAACACGAGTCAAACATTGATTTTGGTATCATTTTATTCATGATTAACAACGATCATTCTTTTAAGGAGCAAAGCACTTTATAGCGATCAGTCGGAATTGTTTTCTTTCTCGAATTACACATCCGAGGTCCGCGTTTTGTGATACAGTAATCTCAAGAACAACATGTCATCTGATTGAAACTTTATTAGAGACGTTGAGATCTGAATATCGTATCAATTTCGTCCAATTTTCTGTATGATGTTTAATTTTCCCAGAGTAAAATTCGCATTTCATAAATAATCTATGAAGTTTATTTTCAGAATATTGATAGAATGAAACGAAACCTGCGCTAATTTTAGCAATGATTAATTATCGCTAGCACTAGTGAGAATCTATCGATGGATAATTGCTGACATCTTTTTTTATTAATTATCAGAATCTTATAGGAGGACTACTGTGTAGTACTACTATTTGATATAATTGTGTAAGAGAAAATTTTGTATCGCGGTGATCTTGTGAATAAAAACTCACGAAATAGTCGTTGAAACGCGACGTGAAGATATCGAGATCGAATCGGTAGAATTTTTATCCTAATCTTCTACTACAGTACGCTCCATTTCATTACATATAGAGCCTAAAAAGAAAAGTCTTTGTAGACTCAGTTTTTCTAAAGTTTCATGATAATTAAGACAAAGATAGTAACAAAATTTATTCGTGATCAGCCTTCTTGCATATAACTAATACAGCTGTAAAAATAGCTGACAACCGATCATGAATCATAGGTCTTCTCTACACTAGAAAAGTTAATTCAATATTCAGAGACGAATGAAATTTTTTGCAACAATTGAAAGAGAACTTGATCTAATAATAAAAATAATACATATGCTTCAATAGCTAGATATTTTCGATATGATGAATTCAAGAATATTAGTAAATAGAGACTGAAGCATAAGAATAAGCAACATTCCAATATTTAACAAATCTGTGGTTGAGAAAAAGAGTCAAAACAGCAGATACCTACATAAGAAATTTCATAACTCAGTTAAGAGCTTTTTTTTCAAAAAAACAATCAAAGCGATATTGTGTTTCGTAAATATGAATTAGAATTATGCACTTCGACTAAATTATAGTGGCCATTTCTCTGTTTTGATTGATACATTCAACTCGCGAATGTAGACGCATTTGGATTTAATTCAAAATTAATGACAAATTATTTTTTCACGTGTAGCCAAGGTCAGCGTGGTAGCCAGGATTTTTAGACTGATGGGCAAGGGTTTCATTGATAGGTCAAGACTTATTTGGCCCGACAAAATACTAATAATGTAGAAAAAAAAACATACATAAGCTAATGTTGAGGATTCTTTCAATATGTATCTGTGCAACACACATGGAGATTTTCTCTATGAACTAGGTCATTTCACATTTTGGTTTTTTTGACGTTTATGCTTTCACATAAACGTCATTGGATTTTTCTTTTCTCTTCTATTCATGATTCTATATGTATATATATCTACACATATACATGTCGTGTGTTTTCTTGGTCCGTGCTCTTATTTCTCTTCTCTTTGATATATCCTTCTCTACCTTTACGTGATTAGTGTTTTCTCAATAAAACTGAACTCATATTCATCCAAACTTATAGTTAAAATCAGAGTTACCAGATCTTCTGAAGAGTCAGGAAAGTTTCCAAACTTTGAGCATTTTTCCGATTTTTGTCTGATCTTCTGATTTTTCTGATATTGGTACTTTTTTTGTAATTTGTTGCCGATTTCCAAACGTTTTAGATTGTGACCTTACTAGCGAAATTAGTTACGACTACAACTCATTAATATTACAGATTCGTATTACGCTACTTTCTTTCCTTTCTTAGTCTTTTGTAGTCTTTGAGTTATGCAGACATTGACGAATACTATAATATAACAGTAAATTTTTGCGTTGCTGGACTTAAGAAAGAGTGCTAATTATTTTTTTTTCATCTATTTGGTAAACATATTTTAGCTCAAAAATATTTATTGAAGGAATTTTGAACAAAGAAAAATTTGAAAAATAATATGGAACTTATGTTCTATAACCTTTATTATTTTCCGTGAGATTTTTTGGTCTGCATAGTTTATATATATATAATTTGTTTGCGCATATTTTTCGTAAACAGAATTTTGGACGTCGTAATAGAATCCGACATACTCAGTGTCTTATGCTAACGTTTTTGTATTAACTAACAATTGAAGATCATGTAACTGCAAATTAAGGAGACTGCTCATAGTCGAATCAAATGAATACTCTCACTCACAGTACAACTAGTTTAAAACAAGTGCTTCCAACAGTGTACACAGACTGAGATATTTGAGTTTCAACAAATCTACAGTTTGTTATATGCCAATACTACAAAATTTCATCAACTCTTAGTTTTCTTTTTTCGTCATGGTTGGATGGAGTACAACCATTTACATAAGAAAAAAAACCTAATCACCCGTATTCAAAAGCCATATGACAGCAATTAAAAATTTTGTTTATTACCCTTATAATTAAATAAATGTTGTCGTAGGCTTCGAAGAATTTGCTTTTTAATATGCGTTATATTGTTTTTTTATGTAGATGGTTGTACTCCATCCAACCATAACGAAAAAAGAAAACTAAGAGTTAATGAAATTTCATAGTATTGGCACATAACAAACTGTAGGTTTGTTGAAACTCAAATATTTCAGTCTGTGTACGCTACTAGCAGCTCATATTTTTAATTAGTTGGGTTGACAATAAGAGCATTCATTTGATCTGACTATAATCAATCTCCTTAGCTTATAGTCCATGATCTTTTACTCTAACCTATATAATGTTTGTATTATCTCTCTTTACTATGAAATACTTTTAAAAATAAAGTATAAGTCGATGAAGAAAAAAAGTAAGCATTTTTTCTTTTTATTGTTTCTAAGCGAAGTCAACACATAATAAATAATCTGCTTAACTCTTAGTTAAATATTGCTATATTATATTATTGTGCTCATGATTTAATCAGATCCTTCATGATTTCTCTTCATTTCTTCAATGCTCATTTTATGGTCTTTGTGAATATAAATGCAAGGACTATTTCATTCACACAACAATAAATATGAGCAAACGTGTGTTATATCTAGATAAAAGTGTCTTCTTTTTTCGTAGGACTCTAGACGTTGACAATCTTATATTTTGATTAACCCATATAACCCTGAACAGAAATTCAGATAATAATCGAACATAATAGAACATGTACAATAGTATTCGTTTTATATTTTGTTCTAAAAAATTTTCAATCTTATCTTTTGTTAGACTTCAAACTTGTTTACAAGTTCCGTATGAAACTAGTTATAGTATAAGCATTTGATCTTATAAAAAAAGACAAAAAATTAATAAATTATTTTCTTTTGTTTGAAGATATGCTTTGGCAAATAATTTCAATTGTATTTTCCATACTTTTATCTATTCTTCTTTATCGTGCATATGTGGTATTTACACCAGATAAAGATATATTTGAACCATGTTCATCATCAGTCGATAATCATTCTTTGCAGTTTGATCAACAACGTCTTCAAATATTTCAAACATTACTTCAGTTTCAAACGATATCCTATGAACGTAATAAGCAAAATTTTACTGAACTCCAAAAATGTCGAGATTTCATTAAAGAACATTATGATGATTTAATAACAAAATATTCGAAATTTGTTCAATTACATGATATTGCAGAATATTCATTACTATATTCTATTCAAGGAAAGAATCCAAACTTAAAACCATTTCTTTTTTCTGCTCATATGGATGTTGTACCAGCTGGAAATCTTAGTCGTTGGAAATATCCACCATTTGATGCTCATTCAGATGAAGATTTTATTTATGCACGTGGTACACTCGATGATAAGTAATATCAAGGTGAATAAGTATCTAAAGTTTTCTATTTTTTTTATGAATAATTTTAGAGGAAACTTATTTGCTATGATGGAAGCTCTTAAGGTATGCTAGATATCTAACTTGTCAAACACATTAAAATAATCAATTGAGACATATGCATATTGTAATCGTTAAAAAAAATTCTTAGCTCAAATATTTAATTGACACTTTTTTTTGGTTTTTAATATCAAATTTGATTTGCTATTCTGAATAGGAATATTTAAATGTATATGGTCAACCATCACGAACATTTTATGTGGCATTAACACATGATGAAGAAGTAGGTAAATCGGGTTCCAAAGGTATTGCTCGTTATCTTTCACAACAACCATTTGGTGATAATGGTCAATTTGAATTCGTACTTGATGAAGGAACAGTTATTGTTGAAGGAGTATTTCCAACTCTTAATAATCCTCTTGCTATAATTGGTGTTGCTGAAAAAGGTTATATGAGTGTTGAATATCGTATTAGTATGCCACCAGGTCATTCAAGTATGCCAGCAGCTCCAACAGCTATTGGAATATTAGCTCATGGTGTTGATAAACTTGAAAGTACACCACAACCATCACAATTTGGTCGTGGACCTGAACTAAGTTTTTTACATGGTATAACACCATATTTAAATTTTCCCTTACGATTAGTTCTGAGCAATATTTGGCTATTTGGA